TAGGCTGACCCGCTTGAAGTCTTGAGATAAGATGTGTCATGTTAAAGCACGACAGAAGCACAATTTTTTCTCTAAGACCAATTTTCAGATTGGCACTGAACACTTGATCTTGTTCGGACGTCAAGTTCTTACTGATGTTTCTTGGTTTTCCAAGTTTATGACACTTTTCAACTATTTGTGTGTTTTCCGCATAAGTCTCGCAGTGTACCGCCGGACACCTTTAGAGATTCGGCAAAAATTCTCGGATATTGCTATATATGCATCGGTTTCAAATTGTGTCTTCGGTCGATAGTTGGGTTGCTCGGCTCCCGTGCTTGCCTCCTACATTCCGCTTTGTTCGGTTAGGTGTGCAAAAGGAAAACCACTGCGATTGTGCTTCCAACTCGTATGATTAAGCACCTCGGTGGAGAAAGCCGAAAACTGACTGTTACAATAAAGCATAAACTGGTTAGCAATCCGATGACTATGTTAAATGACGGGCCGTTCATAACATTGGCCGAAGTGTTTACGGCTTGACCTCGGTTGTCGCCGAACACTAAGCGGGGGGCTACTTGCTGGCCTCCCAACTTTAAGCTCCTATGACTAAGTGAAAGTTATAAAGCCCGCATATCTGATTGCCTCGTTTCCGCCAACACAACCACCTTCGGGCACCGAGACGTCGGCTAAGGGTTGTTTTGTTATTCCGGAAACACCCTGTGTAGCACCTACAAGGGGTAGAAGCCGACGATGGGCCACTTTCAGATTATAAACGGTCGCAACAGAAGTGTAACTTTGGGTTCATCTAGATCACAGAGTTCAGAAGCTTTCCCCGAACTAAATCTCAGTATTTCCTCCCACATTGATCGGAGTTGAGGTTTCATGATCATGCTTAGCATGACAACCCAAAAGAAAGGAACCAATAGAGGGACTATTTTCTTTGGACGATGTTTCTTATGTTAAACAATAATATAACATGTCTCTCTGCGTACCTTTGTTTATAAAACCGTATGGCCGGATTGCCTTGTTTGCCACAAATCTTTGCCCTCATAAAGGCTTTATAAAGTGGGACAAACACTCCCTGGCTACTGGCCGAGGAGGTTGAAGCCGATGGCCGGTCGACAAATTTTTGTACAATGCGAATGCGAGCATTGATGATGCAAAGTACTTGGATACATAGAATCATTACACATAATTTGTGATTTTACTTTGGATATCGATCCTTAATTTGGCCACCCGTGCCCACATTAAGGCTCAGGGGCTACTGGGCTTCGTGCTTATTATTTACAAATATTAAAGGGGTACATCGATCCCCTGATCTAGTGTTGTCACCCGACCAGTGTCTCGGGGGCTACTGCATTGACAATCCAATGCAGAAAATTTAAAGTGCAGTATAGTTTTCGAGGAGATTATTATCCTCAGGATGGTCGGCCGCACCCAACCTGAGTCTCGAAGACTTTGCACACCGCATTTCTATTCCTATGTATGCTGTCGAGCTAGGAATTGATCCTCAGGCTGATTTCGCGCATCGACCTGAGTCTCAGGGGCAACTAGGATCAGCGGTTTCATGTTTCCCTTCAGGTGCATCTCGGGTTTTAGTCCGACGCACTTACCTCGAGGGCTACTGGCTATATATCTCAGCAGAGAATAAAATGCACCAACCAAAAAATCAGCCCGCAATCAGGGATGGTGCACCACCTCGGAAGCAGTCCGACATTAAGCTCGGGCGCTAGTGGCTAGCTCCATAGAGGGCATTTCTGGCATTAAGCTTGGCTAAACTCCTTCAACTTTTTGAACCTAGATGATCTATGACATCTCGGATATAGTCCGACGTTGGAGCTCGGATACAGTCCGGCGTTGGAGCTTGGACACAGTCCGACGTTAGAGCTTGGATATATTCCGGCGTTGGAGCTCGGAAGTAGTCCGACGTTGGTGCTTGGCTGCAAAAGATACCTCGAATGCAATCCGGCATTGGAGCTCAGACGCAAGAGGACGCTGCCGCCCGGGAATAACTTCAAACCTGAAGTGTGGCATTGTTTCAGATTTACTTTGCGATCCTCAAGATCGAAGATGAAAAGATTTGTTGAACCAGTTTTCAAGACCGACGACCAAAGATGAAGAACAGTTCGGAAGAATCGAGGAGCATCCCCAACTTGAAGACCGGTTCAGGGGGCTACTGACGGTGTCCTGGACTAGGGGGTACTCACCACATCATCCCCCGATCAGTTAGATTGGGCCGAGGACCCCCATGGCTGTATACTCATGGGCTAGTTCGGACAGTTGCTGCATACAAGGATGATTCCACAAGACTTGGTGATCAAGACAAGGACTCCTCCCCCACCGGCGTATTCGGCTAGGACTCTTGTTACCCTAGGCCTATGGTACATTATATAAACCGAGGCTAGGCTAGTCGATAGATGATTATGACATTACTCATCATACCTCTAGGGTTTAGACCACAACATATGATCTCAGGGTAGATCAACTCTTGTAACCCCTATACTCATTATAGTCAATCAAGCAGCATGTAGGGTATTATCTCATCAAGAGAGCCCGAAGCTGGGTAAAATCCCGTGTTCATGTTACCATTGATCCTAAGACACACATCTTGGGACCCCCTACCCGAGATCCGCCGGTTTTGACACCGACAGCCACCACACAGGAGCACCTCACCACCGGTGACTAGCTCCGCTGCTCCCCCCATCACCTTCCTCTCTCCCTCGGTTTTCCTTTTCTCTCTCTCCCTCTGGTTTGACTCACCCTCCCATGTCCATGCCCGTGTAGGTCATCGCCATGGACGACCAGGAGCTATCTGGCATAGCCGGGAAGAGGAGCCCCACGCCGCTGCCTGACTCTTCCATAGAAACGGGCCCTCTCCAACAGCCACCGCCAGATCTGGTCTGCCGCTGTCCGTTCATGCCTCCGGCGACCCCAACCATCGCTAGATCGAACCACTGCTGCCATTGACAACACGCATGGGATGGAGATTTTGTTTTTGTTTTTGAAAGTAATAGCAGTAGCGCGGGCTATAAGACCCTCTACAGACAATTAGTAGTAGCGCTGTCTACAACGCACGCTACAGCTAACCATGTATAGCAGTAGCGCGTGTCAACACGCGCTACTGCTACAAGTTAGTTGTGGCGCCGTATCAGTAGCGCGGGCGCCCAAAACTCGCGCTACTGCTAGGCTTTTTCCCTAGTAGTGCTTGCTGGAAATCGATGACTCCATCTCCTCAACCGCTACACCGGGCTCCTACTACTCTCGTACTCGTACTAGTTGTTGGATTCCCCCGAAGAGCAAGGGTGATGTAGTATAGTGGCAGAAAGTATTTCCCTCAGTTAAGAACCAAGGTTTATCAAATCAGTAGGAGTCTACAAGCTAGCAAGATAAGCAGCACCTGCGCACAAACAAAAAAAATGCTTGCACCCAACTTGGCAAGGGGGTTGTCAATCCCCAATTGCAAGGTTAACAAAAAATAATGATAGATAGTGATATGGCAAATGACAAAATAGTAAAGTGAGCAATAGAGCAACACAAATAATAATAGAGAATGCACCCGAGGGGCATAGGTTCATGTCATTGTTGCTGCCATGAGCCGGAATTGATGACCCGCATGCCATTTTGGTATAGGTACGCGCTACAGATTTGAAACATGGTTAAAGACCGGCTAAACCTTCACCACATTCTCTTGCTATAGGGCGCTGTTCCATGGAGCGACCATTGCCCCCTACTCGTAGCTAATTTGGAAAGGTTAGCTGCCGATGAATGCGAAGATTTTCCTTTGGCTAGCCTCCCAACCAGGAGAGCGAGATCCTACACCACTTGCTCATGGGTTGCGTCTTCTCTCGCATCGCTTGGCATGACACTATGGCCTGGTGTCGCCTGCCCGCGCCCTTCAGACGACATGGCATGATTCTTTGACTTGTGGTCCACAACAATGTCCATGGCACTGGTTATCTTGCGTAGGGGTATTAACTCTCTGATCATTCTAACAGTGTGGACTATCTGGAAGCACTGTAATGTCAAACTTTCTGATGGACCCCTCCTCCACTCAGCTCTCCAATGACATCAAAAAGGAGGCGCCTCTATGGGCTAGAGCCCGCGCCAAAGGCCTTGATAGATTAATCCATGTAACCTGAACTTACTCTCTGAGGCTGAGCAATCTTACTCCCTCTCTACTTAATCCGCGCTTTTGATGTCACCATGCTTGTGTACGTCACCAAATGTAGCATCCCTATAAACTATCTCCCCTACTTATGAATGGAATGATACACATCATTGTATATCCGCAAATAAAGCTTCACCAGATTCAACCCTAGCTCTTGAAGTTGGATGATGACGACTAAGCTTTTGTTGACAAACGTTGTGATAGATAAAAGGAAGCAAATTGCACATTTAATACGTCAACTCACTGACGCATTAGAGCATCGCTAGCAGATCCTGTAAAAACGGTCAAACCTTGGTATTTACGATACAAGCTGGAAAAATCACCCCGAACAGATCCTGTAAAAAAATTGCAGGCTCCCCTATATTCAAGCCCCAGTCCGTTATATCTAGAGGATTTCGGCTGTTTTTGGAGGATCCTGTAAAGCCGGACAAAGCCGAAGCAGGGGACCTCGCGACGTCGCGCACGAGCAGCGAGCAGGCGGAGGAGCTCACAGGCGGGCGGCCGAAGCATCGCCAGAGCACGCGATGGCCCGGTGTGTCACCAATGTAGGCAACGGGCCAAATCAGGCGGCAGGCCGGAGCGGCGCCGTTCTGGCCGACCAGAGTTCGAGTTCGTCCATGCGTGCGTCCCAGAAAAGAAGAAGCATGAGGAGAAAAACAATGTTTACTGTATGGGTCTACATGATCTGTTCCACCCATGTCTCACGGTACCGTAAATTCGTTTTAGGCGTGTTTTTACACGTGGTGCTTTATGGGATTGCTAGAGACGCTCTTACACCAAACCCTCGTCTAGATTGTTCCCCACCAAAACCCTAGAATCCCCTAATCCAATCCCCACCGGTTCCCCAGGTCTGCCGATGGGGCTCTTCTCGTGGTGGAGGGGCTCCCGCCGCGGCTCGCCGGAGCAGGCCCCGAGCCAGCAGCCGGCGAAGGGAGCGGGAGGCGCGCAGGCCCAGGTGGCCGTCCCCGGCACCCACGGGGCGGTGGAGGTGCTGCGGCAGCGGCAGCGGCAGCCGGACGCGACGGTCTTCGAGTTCGGGTCGGCGGCGGAGTCGGGTACCGCCGTCACGCTCGCTGGCTACTGCCCCGTCTCCGACGAGCTCGAGCCGTGCCGCTGGGAGTTGGTGCCCGCCACCGGCGAGGGCGCCCCGCAGTTCCGCATCGTGTTCTGAGCACGAGGAGATAAGCACCCCTATGCTGCCGTCGCGGTATCTATCTTGGGTGTTGCCAGGTTTCATGGGTACAAAGGTGTGGTCTTTGGCTGTATACTGGTGCTTGTGAATTTCTCGAAATAAAACTTGAGATATTGATGGGTCCTGGTGGATGATAACATGTGCTGGTTGGAATGTTGGGCTTGCTGTCGTTTGTGATGAACAAATTAGCCAATTTCAGCAGCTATTTATAAGACTATCAAATTAGCTTATCTTGATGGATTGCTGTACTTTTTGGCTTTTGTATGCACTGAAATTTGTGGGCCAGCCATTTGTTGAAATATTTTCAAGATGCAAACTTTATCTTCTTAAGGATTAGGAAACCGTGGTGGAAGTCAATTTGCTCACTGGGAGATGTAGGAGTGTATGTCCTGTTGCATTGTTAGACATGAGTCCAGACGATATTTCCTGCCTGGACTTGAATTGCTCCATCACCAATGGTAAGGACAAACACCTTACCACGACTGTCCGAGCAATAATTTCCTCATTGAGCTACACATATGCAGTCATTTCCTGCCTTTTTTGTATCTGTACCTTACCTTTGGGCTTAGACTTCTAATTGATAGCACATCCATAAAGATCCCAAACTATTTGGTTCATGTCAATTGGAAGAAATTAGCTTTTGGCTTTCAAATTAGCTTATCATGATGTATTGCTGTACTTTTTGGCTTTGGTATGCACTGAAATTTGTGGGTCAGCCATTTGTTGAAATATTTGCAAGATGCAAACTACTCCATCCGACCCAAAATGTAAGACGTTTTTTGACACTACACTAGTATTAAAAAACGTCTTACATTTCGGGATGGAGGGAGTAAATCTTTATAGAGAGAAATTATGATGGAACCTTGCTCACTGGGAAATGCTAGGAGTGTTATCCTTACCTTTGGTTTCAGACCATTAATTAATAGCACATCCATAAAGATCCCAAATACTGTTGGCCCATGTCAGTTGGAAGAATCGTCTAGCTAGTGCTAAAATACTGTTATTTGTGAACTCAGTTCTGTCTTATTGGGGGTCCATTTCTCCTTCCTTTCTGATTTCATAATGTGAAACTTTTGAGTTCATTTAAGTTGGCCAAGGTGAATCATGGAACAACTGGGTGGTCAGAATTCTCCAAAATGATTTGCTTCACTATTATTTGATGGAAATGAATTGCTTTATGTGGTTAGCCATGTCAGATTTCCGCTCTGAACTCGCTTGCAAATTGTTATCTTAATAACATGTAACCTGAACTAGCTCATAATTTATGATGCTATTGTATATTTTATGGCACTAGAGTGGCGCTAGTTTTCAGGTTTTAGTACTAGTAGTGTAGTAAGAGGCTACTAGCATAACAGCAAAGCTGATGAGTGGTGATGATGAACACCTCTTGTACTCGAGGTTGAGCCTGGATTCCAAGAGTGGGGAGAGCAAGCTCTTAAATGGATGTAGAAATTGCTAGGAAGATAGGTGGGAGCAAATACATTTTGTCGTAACTTTTGACTGTCTCTGAAGACACAGACGACTATATGAGTTTGTACGGTCATAAGTTGCGTGGCAACTTAAGGTTGACTACCAATCTGTAACCTGTATACATGTAGCGGTTTTAAAAGAGAGTGCATTTGTATGTATCAGACAACTTTCGGCTTTGCCTAAACAAGAATCATAGCCTGACATGTTCTTTTGCTGAATCTACATTCTTTTCTTTTCATTTGAACTGGTGAAAACCCATCAGCACGATCCAAATATTACAAATTCATATTCCTGTTCCTGGAACAACTTGGCAGGACTTGCTATTTCCGTTAACAAGTGTTGGAGAATAGCTGTTGCCTGAAGCTGTGAGAAACGATATCAAAATATGTAATAGGGATACCATATGTATTTATGATCTGAAAGCGGGGGTACATTGCCACTCAAACTGATGGTGTATTGAATCAGTGTGTTGTGGTCTTGTGGACCATCTCTGTTTGTTTGTCGAGATAATATAACCTGGTTATACTCACTTGTTGATGTACTTCCTTTTGTTCTTGATATTCCTGGAACGTATGTGCTCTATCATTTGCAAACTATCAGATGTGCATTACTTTAGTTCCTCCCTCGGTTTTAAATTATAAGATGTTCCAACTTTTTCTTGAACCGGGTGTATATAGACACGTGTTTCAGTGTGTTTTGTTCACTCATTTCAGTCTGTATATAGTCTACTTTGAAATATCCAAAACGCCTTATAATTCGAAACGGAGGCAATAGTTTTGGTTTTGTAGGTCTGATATGAAGGCTGGTTGCATCCCAGTGATTTGAGGCCACTCTGTTTTGCTGCCCATCTTATGATGTCAGTCACTTGTGTCTGCTGATTCTCTTCTGCTCAGTGCTCACTCACTCATTTTCTCTGATAAATTCCAGCAACTTATCAGAAAGTCCTTTTGCAGCTCAGATATTGCACGCAGATTCTGGGCAGTGGGGCCACGCTGTCAGTGTCCAAGCCCGGCTCCCCCAACTCGCTTCCCGCACGCACCATGGAGGAGCAGAGCACCACACCTTATCGTCTTCTTCTCTTGTTCGCGCCAATGGCGCTCTGCCTCTCGAACCCTCCTCCCTCCTCCAAGATCGCACTCAAAGCTCCAGTACCGCCACTCCCGAACCGCTCGTTTCTCTTCCCGCCACCGCGCCTGCCTGCTCTCCAAGTTGCCCTCCTCCGCGGTCCGCCGCCGGGGCGCGTCCAGTCGTCGTCGGCACCGTCGGCCCCGCCGACGGACGGCTTCCCGACGCCACCATCGTCGAGGGAGGAGGCGGTCGCGCAGGCCAGGTCGTGCCTGGCCACGGCGCTGCGCAAGCCGCTCAACAACTCGCTCCCGGCGCGGAAGCTCAAGAAGCAGCAGCGGCAGCCCCGGTTCCGCGCCGAGATCCCCGTGGTCGACGACTCGCCGGGCTCCCTCGCGCGCCTCGCCTTCGACGTCTTCTCGGGCCTCGGCGTGTCCCGGAAGGGCTCGCCGGCGAGGCTGCTCCTCGTGTGGCCCTCCGCGGAGGACCTGGCGGTGGCCGTGCGCGAGTTCAAGAACTGGGGGGACACGTCGGCGCTGGCGCACGCGCAGCTGGACTCGGTGGCGCCGGACGCGCTGAGCGCCTGCGACGCCGCCGTGTTCCTGTCGCCGGGCCGGTCGCAGGTGGAGAAGCTGCGCGCGGCCGTCAACGCGCTGGACCCCAGGCCGGCGGTGCTGTTCAACCCAGGGTGGAGCTACGAGGTGGAGGAGGAGGGGTTCGGCGGCATCGCCAAGGGCTTCGTGGGCTCCTTCAACGTGGTGTACTCCTTCATGGGGCTGGAGGTGAAGGGGCTGCTGAGCAAGAAAAAGGGGGTGCTGCTCCGGTGCGTGGAGGGCGGCAGGTTCGGCGGGGAGAGCTGGGTGCTCATGATGGAGGGCGAGGAGAAGGAGCCGGAGCTGAAGGTGGTGTCGCGGATGAAGCGGCGGCCGACGGTCGGCGAGGTGGAGAACATGATGTACAACCTCATGGCCGCCAACTCGCCGGTGACCAAGTCCGCCAGGTTCCTCAGGGAGCTCGTGTCCAACGTGACGGGAAGGAAGGGGAAGCAGTGACATTGGTTCCCTTGGACTTGTGTGTTCACGGCGTCTCCTGAATTTCTTTCTGCTGTCGTGCCAATTGCCTGAAAACTCTGAAATGGTTCTAGTGGTGCAGCAACATGTTTGATTTTGTAATTCAGGCGGCATTTGCACAGCATCTGCAGATTATAATAGGCAATGTTAACCAACGGATAAGGGAAGTTTTGTGTGCTAGGAAATGAGAGAAATCAGGTGTTCGAAAGCTTGAGATTAACACGCAACAATAGATATCTTGCCCGGCTCCAATGAGGAAGGGGCGAAGACGGCGCCGCGCTTTCAGCTCGCTCCAATGCTTGTAGTCGTCGTTAGGTGTTTTATGGACATAGATATATTTTTTATTCTGGTGTTTTTTGTACTACCTTGACATGAGTAGATCGAAAGTTTTTTCCGCAGGAAAACACATCAACAATAGATATCTTTGTTCATCATGGCCCTTTTCAGCATTCAGAACATAATTGAAGGGATTTTTTTTTATGAAAGGCTGGCACCGCTGCTTTCATTGCGATCATAGGACCAGGCCAGCTTGATGAAGGGAGGCATGATGCAGCCGGAGAATTGCACCGAATAAGCCGAGCTGGCAATGAACTGCCCATTGGCAGTTCAGCGCCAGGTCAGAGCATCCTTCTGTCACGGTCGCAACTGCACCAATTGGAGTCACACTAAAAATCAGTGAATTGGCCGATGGATTCGACAATAAGGTCAGCCTTCAAGTGTTGCATCCATTTGTCATTCTCCATAGCGGTTTTTGTGGTTACAGTCCGGAGAGTGCAGCTTGAAGAGATCTAGGTAAAACTCTTTGGAGCTCTACAGGTGCATCCAGGGGGTCCGTCCTGAATTTTGAAAGGAAATTTTCCATTAGGAGCATGGCTCTGCTGTTTTTTTTAAACGAGGCAAAAGACATGCCATTTCATTAATTAAGGAAGAAGTATAACAATGTCCGGAAACAACAGCCAAATCTGGCAGAGATAAAGCAACTACCCGTGGGGTAAAATTACTTCAAGACATTTGGCACCTGCCAACACCCACAATCTTGCTTCCTCCAGGATCTTGTCCACGATTATCATCAAAGGCGTAGAGACGTTTCGAAAAATCCTAGCATTCCTCTCCTTTCAAAGTTCCCAAGAAATAAGCATAAGTAGGAGGCCATTCCTTTTCTACTCGGCAAGCCCGCGAGGGCAAGCTCGGTCCACCAATCTCTGACACGGTTCCTCGCCGCCCAATCTCCGGTCATGATATCGTCCAGCCCAATCCTTGCCTTAACTGCATTCCAAACTGCAGTCGAGTATCGGCATGGCTCTAATGTCGGTGGGAGCAAACTTGTTCGATGGCACCTTGCCTTCTCACAACGATCAACACACCAAAACATTA